CTTTGGAAAAAGTCATGATTTTCAGAAAAAATATTAAATATAAAGTGGTCATTGTTATAAATTGCCCCCTTAATTAATTTTCAGAGAGCATTGCATTAATAATAGAAAGGAATTTATTGAGTAAGCCAACAGCAAGCAAAACAGCGCTGGGAGGCCGGGGAGTCTCGGCTCCGCCAACGGCGTGCACCTCACCCCCGCCAGGGTCCCTTTTTATATCTTGGTAATTCCGGGATTATGCAGCACGTACTGGTATATTCTGCGACTGCGCACACTGTTGCTAGGGGGTCATCTCTGTCCCTCTGGTGGTCGTGAAGATGAAGGCCGTAGTCTTCCTCGGCGTTGTGGTTCAACTTCTTTTTTTATTTGGTCATGTTGGCCCAGCGTGAGACAGGAAGGCAGGATGTTGATACGCTAGGTTAGCAACTTCTCAGGAGATGGTTACATGAGCTTTGCAGCAGGGTCTTTAAACAAAAGAGGCAACTGAGATGCAGAAGGAGAGAAGGGGAGGGGGTTCCCTTTTTTGTTACATTAAGCAAAAGAATTTTCATAGTGTCTAGCCAAGCATTATCCAGCTCCTTACTTCAGCAGGGAGGTTTCGCAACTCCAGCTCCTCAAACAGAACTCCTTTTTTTTATAATACAAAAGACAATGAACAAACATTTATTGTGTATTACAGTCATGTTTTTCTGAATCAAGCAGACAACATCATGATTTCTATTTATTTACTTATTTTTGAGGAAAGTGGAAGTTGTTTAATGGAAGATGAGAATGGACTAATCAGCCTAAAAAGCAAAAGCTATTTACTATATAGTGGCCTCATGTGTACTCTAGAAAGAATGGCAGAAAATATATGCATAGAGAGTGACTGATAGATTGACATAAACTTGCGTCTCAGAATAGAAGTATTCACATGAAATGCTCTCCATTATGTGGACACTGTCTATCAGCAAGAATGTGTATTAAAAATAAATGAGTTGTAGCCTTCGATTGTCACAGACATGGAAAATAAATAGACACCCGGCAATGTAAGCATAGCAGGCACAAGCTAAGTTATTGTGTTACCTCTGAAACGAGATGGACGTGTGGGGAAGTACATGCTACAATTTCTATTTATCAAATGACATGACAGAAAAACCTTAACGTAGTGGGTTTACATGGCAAGGTTTTGGTAGCAGGAGGCCATACTGGTGGCTTCTCTGAGAAGAATCTAGAAGCTGCCCCATGTTAGGTAAAGGCCCTGCTGCTGACTAGAGTTGAACCAATAAGTGATGTTGTTTACACCTCTGTGAGAGAAAGGGGAAAACAAACAAACAAACAAAAAACAAACAAAACAAACAAATGAACAAACAAAAACAAACAAACAAAAAACCACAACCAACCAATCAAACAAACAAACATGGCTATACAGAAGCTGGGAGAGAGAGAGGAGTGAGAAACAGTATTTTCTCCCTCTTTCTCTTTGAGGAGGGGGAGTGAGAGAGTGGCTGTGGTGGAGCTCAACTACCCACCTGAGTAAAACCACCACACTTGCTCACATACCAAAATGCGCAGTCACTGCTGTATCTTGAATCATTCAGGCAGGGCTTGGCTGCTGGGGCTAATTTTCTCAGCAAGTTGAGACTGAGATATCCTATTCCCCATGCTCCTCATATTCTAGATATCTGCAACCCCACCACGCCATCTGTCATTCTCCCTTTTCCCCATGGGGTGAAACAGTTTTCATAGATTTTTCTCCCCTGTTACTCCATGTGTTTGCTGTGCCACCCATAGAAATTCTCCTGCAAGGTCCCCTTGCCACTGCTCAGTTCATCCCATATTGGATTGGCAAAGGACCACAAGCCATGAGTGCAGACCCAGGAAGGAGGCTTTGGTCCAGCACACTCATAGAGATAACCAGAAAACCACAGCTGTGTGTCTAGGGCTGACGAGTCACAGCTTTATCACTCTCAGCAGCAGTAGGTTGGGAAGACTTTAATGTCATGTTGAGCAGCATGAGCACAGCTCCTCCAGAAAGATGCCGTCTGTGAGGTCATTTTCAATAGAGACCTCCTGGAAGGAGCAATACACAAAAAAAAAAAAAAAGAAAAAAAAAAAAGAAAAAAAAAAAGAGGGAATTTCCTCAGCTGCTGATGTTGTTATCAGGTTTTCCTCCTCCAAATACAATAAAGGAATAGGTTTGCTGAAGCTCGTTCTGCCAATTTCTTGTTCTTTATTACCTTGCCTACAGCATTATCTTATCTGCTGCTCAGTACATTGCCATGCCAGTTCAGGAATCAGCACATGTTCTGCTAAGTTCTTGCTGTTCCCTTTGGATGTATCTCTGCAGAAAAGCTTAAAGGACTCATGCTTCTGAGCAGGCCATAATATGGGGACCTGTTGTCTGAAAAGCATTAGACATCATCTGGGGAGAAGGAACATTGAGTGCAAGGAGAGCACAGCTCAAATCCTGTTAAAAAATCTGCAACAAAGAACTGGAACACGGAAGTGGAGGAGGGAAAGTAAATTCACGTTTTCAGTGTGCCAGGGCACTGCCATGTTTTCATGGGCATCTGCTTTCCCATGCAGCATTGCATACAACACACATAGATACATACTCTAAGTGGGACAGGTGACCAGCTGCCACTACGGCACTAACTTCCTCAGGAGCATCTTATTGCAGAGTTTTCTGCTTTGATGCAGCTTCCTACTGCAAAACTCCTACTTCTTCTTCTCCCAGTTGCATGAATTTGGGGAGTATGGAAAGAGAGAGCTGAAGTTCTTCATCAGGATGACGTATTACAGAACTGCTCTGGGATTTACACTCTCTGCTTCCTGAGAGGAAAGAAATCAGCCTTCAGTGATGATGCTTCCCTCTTTCCAACTGGCAATGCAGCAGAATGGATAAGCTGCCACACAGTCCGTACACAAAGTTGCAACAGGTTGTTGATGATTAAACACAAAATTCCTCCAGAACTGGAGGTTCTGATTCAGCACAGAGGCAGTTCAAAGACCTTAACAGCATGCTCCCTCCAGAAAGATCTATTTAGCATTTAAGCAGGCTTTTTTTGCTGTCTTTTGTCTCTTAGAAGCACAGTCTAGAAGGAAAACAAGGCTGTTCAGTCCCTTTTGAGCACAGCTCCCTGGATTTCCCTAACCTAAGGGAGTGCCTCAAGTCAGTGAGACTGGAAAACCTAATTGTGCTTTCAGCATCTCCTTTAACATATTTCTCTGTGTTAGAAAGGTGTAGAAGACAATGTCTTCTGTATCATCTAGGAGTTGCTTTGCATAACGGACTAAAGTGTTTCACTTCCCTGTTTCTGAATCTCTGCAGTGCTTTAACAAGGACAAGAGCTGTCGGCCCATATGTTTCTAGCTGGCCCTAACCTGATTTAGGAGAACAGGGATTTATTTAGCAGCCAGGGAGAGTTTAACCTTTCTGGAAACTGCTGTGTACCCATGGAAATAAAAAACATTGTTTCAGAAGCAGCTACCTCAAAAACTAAGTGGCCATGGAAATTACAGTTCTTGTTTCCTATGGAAGCTAGCGAGAGCTCCTGTCTCATCTGAGAATGAGACCTACCACCCTACCTCTGATCAGATCTGCCCAAGAAGCAGAAGAAAAGGAGCAGTTTGCCTGTTATCCAGTCCAAAATGGGTATGGCATCAGGGTTACGCACAGGCAACAACTGAGACATCAGACAAAACATTCCTGCTCAGACATTGAAAGAGAGCACAGTCCAGGTAATGGCAGTGACTCTGGAGCATGAATCAGTTGGACTCATTTGCTGGGGGATCCAAAAGCATCAGAGACACAAAATACTCTCTTCTCCTAAAAACAGACCAAAATCCTACTGGCAAACATTACGAAACCTGTTACAGCCCCTGCCTGTCTGCAGGACATGGAGCAGAAAAAACAGCATTACTCCCAGAGAAACAGTGGGCTGAGATCTGTCGGCATTGCTGACTCCAGGGTCACCAAGCCCCCAACCAGGGCATGCCAGGGAGAATCAGTGAGAAGGAGCCATCCAGCTTGGTCTAAGAGCAAAGTACAACTTAGCCTCATCCCATGCCTCATGCCTGCAGCTCTGCTGAGGCAGGATTCAAGACACCAGTTTGGGGGGAGCAGCCCCTTCTGCAGCCCCTCTCTCAACCACCAGTGCATGGGTGGGATCACCTCTTCCAAGCAACCTACTTTTTCTTCCTATTTCACGCTGACAATGCCTGCCAGCTGAGATGCCCATGCCAGCCTGCACTGCTTTCAGGGTGTCACCCAGAAGCCATAAGCTGAGCAGTGTCTGCTGCCTTCAGGATCCTCAGGCTACCCAGCACTCTCCACCTCCCTGCCAGCCTGAGAGCAGGCTGGAATAAGAGCAGAACCTGATTTCTTTTCTTCTTTATTTTATTTTTTTCCCTTTTTCTAAAACAACACCAAGAAGGGACCTGGTTGCTGGCCACACTGCAGCAAACTAGGATTTATGAGCCACAGCCACAATGAACAAGCAGAAAAATTCCCCTTCCAGTTAGATCAGAAGCCACAATTTCAGCAAGGGTACAAACACCCAAGGAAATTCAGTTGGCTTATGGATGTTGCTCAGACCATCCTCAAATGCCTTCCAGTCTCTCTGGCCTCTTTCCAGCCCTCTCACTGACCATAGCAAGAGACCTCACAAGCCCCCTTAGTTGCTCAGCAGGACCCATCTGATGCCCCAGCTTGACACCAAACACCCTGGGAGCTGTGTGTCTCCTGAAAGATGGATGGTGGACCTGCTGCAGATCCCTTGCTTGCCCCCACATCACCCCATGCCATGCCTGGAAGAAGCAAATGAAGGACTCCAGCAAATAAACTTCAACTCAACAGGATGCCTCATTCTCCTCTGCCATGCCAGAGCCTGACAGACACTATCTGCTCATTGCACCATGCTGACGCAGGTTGGTCAGTGACATCCTAGCTGTCCTGGTCCTGCACCAGCACCGTCCACACACCCAGAGTAGAGAAAAGCAGAACATCTGCTCATACTCACAGTTTTGAAGTCCTCATGGTTGCACTCTCGGCCTTTGAATTTGCAGTACAGCATCATATCCTTCAGATCATGGCCAACCCGTGCCAGGAACTCCTGCATGTTGAAAACTTTTGGTTTATACTGCTTAAAGTTGGCCTTTTCTTGAAGGATGGCCAAGATGGCCGGGTCAGCCAGGTGAGGGTTGGGGATCTGCAGGTTTACATTGAGCAGGGCCAGAAGCTCTCCAGCATGGTACAGGTCATTGGTGGTGAGCCGGGAAAAGCAAAACTCATTGAGGTTACAGATGGTGACAGTGGGGAAGACCAGGCTGTTAGTCATTACCTCGTCCACTTTGGTCACATGCTGGTAGGAGAAGTAGAAAGCCACTTGATCTGAGCTCTCAACCAGGAGGAGCCCCAGTGAGCCCACAAAGGCCAAGGTCCAGAGCAGGCGTCTGATGGTCACTGGCCCGTAGACAAAGACATGACGGATCCCATGGAGCGTGGAGGTGTTGGCAAAAATCTGGATACTGGAAGGCTGCATGCTCCCCATGCTGCCCTCACTGGTGCTGTCCTTCAGATCCATGCAGAGTAGCTAGCGAAATCCTGGCACTGCTTTTTGGGTCAGTCTGTAGCTGGAACTGGGATCCGTATCTCTCCCCTCCCCTCTGGAAAGTAATCAAACCCTATTAGGGGAGAGAGAGATGAGATGAGTCTCAGGCCAGCTGCTCTGAGTTTATCCCACCAGCTCAGCAGTACCTTTGTAGGGGTAAATATTTATACGAAAATCCATTCAAACTCTATCTCTTGATTTCCTCGGTGCGATAAGAAGGGCTGGTTTTATTTAGGGAGACACCAAGGTGATGTGGAAGAGATGTGGGTGGGAAGTGAAAGCCAAGCCAATAGAAATAAAGTCCTCCCCCCCCCCCACACACACACATGCATGCACGCATGCATACGCACACACATCTGAGCAGAGATGAGATTAAGCAAGAGGGAGAGCTTAAAACAAGCCGAGGCAGCTCAAAACCTGTTAACTAGTGCGTAAAGCCCAAGGATGTCTCTACCCGGAGCCGATGGCTTGCAGCGCAGCAGGGCTTTCAGACCAATCGCACCATCCTTCCTGTGCTCTGACAATGCTGCTGGATTTGATCATCTTTTTTCCTCCCCACCCTTCTGGCTTGGGCAGGGCTCCAAGAAATATGCCTCCTCCCCAGAAAGCCACCCTGTGCTGCTGCCAGTGTTATTTCCAAGTGTTTCTCTCAGGGAAAGCTGGGCAGCTAATTCAGTGGGAGAATGCAAGAGGAGTAAGAGAGGAAAAAGAGAGGGAGGGGAAAGGTTAAAAAAAAAAAGAAAAAAAAAAAAAGAAAAGCGGGAGTGGGGAGGGGAGGCAAAGCTGCTCCGTTCCATGCACACACATCCACATGCAGAGCAGAGAAGGGTGGATAGCATGAAGCCTCTCCTCTGCTGTGCAGCAGCTCAGAGAAAAAGAAAAAGAAATCAGAAGAGGATGGAAAGGGGAGAGGTGGAAGGGGAGAGGAGCTGCAACACCTCTCCTCTGTCTTAGAGCTTCCCTGCACTTCAGGACTCCTGGCAGGCGAAGTGTGAGAGCTGTGAGTCATGCATCAATCGGAGCCCGGCATCAATTGGAGCCCCGCGGCAGGGTGAGATCCCAGGGAGGGCAGGACTCAAGGGACTGCAATTGTACTCCCCCCGGCTCCTGCCCACTGGTGGGTTCATCAGTGTCCACATCTTGGTAGGACCAGGGCTGCTGTTCCAAGCAGCACCTGTGGACCCTGAGCTCAGGATTTGGAAGACAGTCAGACAGCAGCATCCAGATTTTTTTTTTTTCTTGCCTCTGGAAGGCAGTTATGATGGATGCATTCAGGAAGCTGCTCCTAGATATGGGTTCAGATGGTAGGTTTGGAGGAACAGGGATGTTGGGGGGGGGGCAAATTGGGAAAATTTTCCTACATGAGAGATACTGCAAAATCCTGCAACAATGCCTCCAGCCATGATAGCAGCTTTACTGCACACTGTAGGAGATAGGAATGAGCAGGGTTCAGCCCTGCGGCTGAGCAGGGTCTGGGGTAGTTCCATTCCACATTTGCTCTGTGCACAGCTGCATTTTTGCCTGTTTTTTTTTCAGAGATCCAGAAGAGAAAAACTCTTTGTCTCTCCATACAGCATCCAGCAGTATGGCAGGTGAGCATCTCGGGGGCTGTGGTGGCACTCAGGAAGTGACATTCCCAGCTCAGATGAGGTGGGAACAGAGGGTGAAAGCACAGACAGAGCCTGCCACAGTCTGTGGTGTGACACCCAGTGGCTCTCAGCCACCTGTGAAGATATCTCAAGGGCAGACTCAAAGATTATCCAGGGTAAAATGAGCCCAGTTTTGGTCCTGTTATCATCAGAGTAGACTCTGAAAGAGCCCCACATTTTACATTTGGCCCATCAGCTGCTTTATCTCCACCAGTGGACACCCGAGTCCCTTCAGGGACATCAGCCAACATTACCATGAGCTGCCCTGTCCTCCCTTGATGCTTTTCACCTTGAGATAACACCAAAATGAGGCAGTTTCTGCTTTTGCTACAACCAAACCCACATCTGGCCCTGGCAGCCAAATCCCAGCTGTGTCATCTCCCAGCCTAAAGCATCCTGTTGGAGCATTTCTCAGGCTGAGCCACGCAACTTGACACAGGCAGTGCAATGCTGGTCTGTCCATTTTACACCAGGGAAACTGAGGCAAAGAGATGCCAAAGGACTTGTGAACAGTCACCCAGAAAGCCCTTTCTGTGGCTATGAGCTGAATGTACTGCTAGGTCTTTCAGAGCATCATAATGGTTCTCTGAAACCTTAGGAGCCTCCTGTATCTTGCCCTGTACTGTCCAGGAGGGGTGGAGAAGACACCACAGAGCAGATCCAAGCAAGGTGTGAACCAGAAGTAAGACAGCTCAGGGCAGAGGGGCTGTAGCACCAGAGCTGCCTCCCCTCCCTCTCACCATCTCTCCAGGGCAGAGACAAGATCATTTTCCCCCTGGTCACCTCACTGGTGACAGGGGAAGAGGCTTCCCCTGCGCACAGAGATCACTCCAAGCCCAAACCAGCCCAGAGTTTGCAAACCAACTTAATTACATCTGCAGATTTTATTACAGAAATGGAATATTGGATTTGAAGCAGTGTTTTTCAGCAGTCAAAGCCTGTCCCACTTGCTCTGACATTCCCAGCACCTCTGCAATAACTTGGATTTATTAGCTCTCTCCGGGGCCATATTTATCTACTGGGCCTCCAGCTCCATCCTCACATGCCATTGCCATGCTGAGGGATGCTGAGCAAGCCAAGATGTTTTTACATTACAAAATGAAGGCAATGCTGCTTCTAGCCTGTGTCTTGTGCTTGGATATTTGGGAATGAAAAATGTAATGTATGAAAATTTTCCTCTGGCATCTCCCCTTTTAAATGACCCCTGGAATCAAGTACTCATTCCCTGTTAAGCTTTACATGATTTTGTTTTGACTTGTAGGTGTTGGTTCTGCCTGTTCTTTGAAAAGCCTATGAAAGCACCTTGAATTACTCAGAAATAATTCAAGTTTAGGGGCCATTCCAGGTGCTTCTGTCTGGATAACACCAGGCATTTACACTTTTTGGCACGTGAAATAGGCAAGGAAAACTCACTGAAATATATAATATAGTTATAACATAATTATAATAAATATAAATTCATTAATATCTTCATCACCTTTTTTCTATTTTTAAATTCTCCTTCAGTGCTGGCATGGCTCCCAACTCAAACTCTCCAAAGAACGCAATTTTCACAGAACTACGATTCAGAATAATTAAGACAAAGAATCCCACAAACTAAGAACCCAGCTTTTTATTACTATGGCAACGTTGTTTGTCTTTCCTCAAGTAACTGAACTGAGAAAAAAAAAAAAAGAAAAAGAAAAAGAAAATCAATTTAAAAAGCAATTGTTTTTCCTGTTGCCAAAAGAGCAAAGCTGGGATGTGAGTTGGGGGTCCCAGCTCCCAGCAGACACCACAGAGGCCCTAGTAAGGATCTGCTTTAGGATGAGCTGATTTGTTCCCTGGGTCTGGTTGGGTCAAAAAAATCTCCAGGGTATTCAAAGGGAGTGCAGAGAGCAATGCACAAGGAGACCCCCACGGAGGGTCCTGAAGGGGGATGTCCCCCATCAGGATATCAGCACATCCCCCATGCTTATGTAACATTTGCTCTGGGAAGTGCTTTGTATAGGAAACTCAAAACATCCGAGCCATTTACTCTAGTGACATGTTCTTGTCAGAGGAAAAGAGAAGCTGATGTTGATACAAAAGCTTCAATCATTTGAGCAGAGAAAGAGGGACTTGGCTCTGCTCCCGGCATGTCACAGTCATGAGCAGCTTTCAGATCCAGCTTCAAGCTCCTGCTGAGCGCCACAAGGACATGTCAAGATTTCCCAGCCCTAACTGACTTTGTTCAGCCAGCAGGTAGAAAACTTTTGCTTTTATCAAGAGCAAATCCCAGCTTGAATCATTAGAGTGAATTAATAAGGCTGCTCAGGGCTGTTATAATGGAGGTGTGATTCTCACTGCTGCTCTCCCATCCACTTCCTCTCACTGGTGCTGGTGGCCCTGGGATGTGACACTGGCAATGCCAGCAGCATGGTGGTGGTGCTTGGTCCCAACCAATGCAGAGCCAGGAGCTGTGCCATGATTATGGCATGAATTGCGCTCAGCCTCTGCCTTTCCAGAGGCTTCTGGAGCTTGGGTTAGGTCTCTGGTGATGCACTGGAGGACAATATGAATGCAAGACAATGTCAGTCTTGGGAAGTTTACTTTAAGCCTGTTTCAACTTCATTTGGCAAAAATTGTTCCATTTCCATAAGTCAGTGGTGGTCCTCATTATGGGGTTCTGGAGGGCAGCTGGACTTAAAAAAGACTCCCCAAATTTCTATGTATTGTGGGGACCAATTTACATGTCTAGCTGAGTCCCCGACACCATTAAACATCTTGTTATGGAATGAGAGATGGATAAGGAAGGGGAGAAGAAGTCTACTCACAGTGTCTGCTTCCCAGGTCTTATGCTACTGCCTGCACATATATCAATTTGTTTTTGCTTCCCAGTGTGCTGAAGGGGCCTAATCCCTTCCCTTCCTTCGGGGTGTTGGATGACTTAGTTGATGTTTATTCAATGGTCTGTGAAGCAGCTGTGGACAGGGACTGTACCAGATTATGGTATTTACTCTTCAGCAAGATTATTTCCATGCCAGAGAGGAGCTGTTCCTGAACTGAGAATACAAGTGTCATCCTAAATCTTTGTCATTTCTGAAAGGGAAGAATAGATTAAATTTCTGTATTCCTTTTGGATATAATTTAAGTCAGAGCAAAGTGATACAGAAATAACTGCATAGAGCAGAGTTTTCCCTTTGCAGAACTGAGCTGTACAGGCTTTACTGCTCAGTGGAGCTGCCCAGACTCCCTTCATGTTGCCCAGTATGTGACAGGAGAGGGCCTTACCATATGCCTTTTGCTCTTGTGGAGCGACATCATGCCAGGCAACTTTCCAGTGTACTCATTTCTGTACAGTTCTTGCAAAAATCCTTGTACCTGTGATACTTCTTGGGGTGCCACAAGTCCCAATACCTGGTTCTACCAAACCACGA